CACCTGGCAGCCGCGTTCTGACAAAATCCAGATCCAGCAAAATGTTTGGACGGGGTGCTCGTCCCATTGTCTTGAGACGAGCCTTCGCAAATTACCCCTGAGGCCACCAGGCTCGAGGAGCACCTGGTGGCCGCGTTCTGACTTTCTGAGGACCCAGTCGGCGCGGCCGGGGACGCTGTCGATGTGATCTGCGATGGCGCGGCGGTCGCAATCCTCGTCGGCGGCCCTGTCGAAGTTGAGGGCTCCGTCTATCCACGCGCGGCAATCGGCGAAGTCGATCGTGGCGGCCGAGTTCCCTCCAGCGGAACGTCCAGGCGAGGACGCGCGCCGACAATGTCGGGGTCACTCTGCGCCTGGACTTGCGTCGCCTTCGTAGGGTGTCTCGGCCTCGCCCTCGGACACGGCGAGAAGGCTGGCGCGGATGGAGTAGCTCTCGTTGGCGTACTTGTGGGCTGGGCGCTGCGACGACCAGGGGCTGAATCCCTGCGCGCCCAGCCCTGCGCCCCCCCCCGCCCCCCGCTGCTAAAGGCCCTGTCGGGAGGCCACTGATTCAGCTGCAAGTCGCAAGGCTCTGTCCCCAGCAATTCTCTCGCGGATGTTCTTGACGGGGGTGGTAGGAGGAACCGCCTTCGCTGTGGCTGGCGTCGGCTCTTCTGCACACTCTGGTTGGGCAGGTGGTCGAGCTCCGCCATGGCCGCCTGCTGCTGACGCTCCTCCGCCCACCTTGCGCTTCTTCCCTTCCAGACGTTTGAAGTGCTCTTGGTGTTCCTCTTTCGCTTTGGATGCCTGCTCCAAAGCTCCCTTGAATATGTTGGCCAGATGCGTCTGGCTGCTGTCCGAGGCCTCTGCTTTGCGACGCCCCAGTTCCTTGATGTCCTGTTCGTCCAGCTCGTGCGACGCCACCGCGTCTGAGATTCCCAGAAAATCATCCATGGTGAAGACGTCTTTGAGGTCCACTCTGCCTTCAACCACTTCACGGATGCTGACTTGGGCTGGGCGCGGAGGTGTCTCTGGCTGTCTTCCAGACGCTGTCTGGATCTCCGCCAGCGCTTTGGTGACCTCCTCGTCTGCCTCTTGGAGCTGCTTGGCCATGCTGGCGATGCGGTTCTCCAAGTCGGCGGTGGCGTTCCTCCAGCGCTCCAGCTTCTCGTACTCGCTTTTGAGTTTCTTCTCGAGCTGCGCTTGGAGGGCCTCTGCTTGTTGCCATCTTTGTCTGGCTGTAGGTGTCGTCGGAGCTGGCGGCCCACGTGTAGCCAATGCTTGGTGCCGTTTAGCTCCTTCCACATCTCCAGCCTCTTGTGCCATCTTTGCCAAGTTGCGTGCTTTATCGGCGTCCATGTTAGGAAGTGGGCCTGGGGGAAGTGCTGCAGCTCCAGCTCCCAGGGTTCCGTCTGGCCGATCGTCACGTCCTTTGCCTTTACCTTTCTTTCCCTTGCCTCCGTGATCGTACTGGCCACCCCCATAGGTACTTTCTCCTCCAAGGTCACGTCCTGCCGGGGCTGGCTTCTTGGTGAGGCTGGAGCCGCAGTGCTTACAGCAGAGAGAGCCCCAGGTGTTCTTACTGCAGCCGCAGGCCAGGCAGGTGACCATCTTGAGCTTCTTGTTCCCGCTGGAGGTGTACCCGTCTTCCTCGTCTCGTGCGGCAGGAGGTGCCTGCTGAGGTTCGCGCCAAGGGTATGTGCCTCCCCAGCGCCGTGCACGGCGACTCCAACGAGCAGGAGGCCACGCCACATCAGCTGCATCGCGTCCGCCCCTCTGGGTCATCAGATGCCCCCTGGGAGCGCACGAAATTGAACTGGGTTCTGAGGTGGCCCCTGCCCGAGAGTTGGAAATCGCAGGAAAACCTCGTCTGACCAGGCAAACGAGGGGCACTGTGGGGGCCGCTGCTCCCCCTTGCCAGTGAGGCCAGGTCCTGTGCCAAAACGGCTCCGGACTTGAGCCAAAATGGCTACGGACCTCCTCCTCCTCCCCCTCCTCCTCCTTGTCCTCAGCGTCATCTTCTTCCTCCTCTTGCCCTTCCTCGTCCTCGTCCTCCTCCTCCTCCTCCTCATGTTCCTTATCTTTTTTGTTGTTGTTGTTCCTTCTCGTTTTCCTCCTCCTCCTCCTCCTCCTCCCCTCCACCTCCACCTCCGCCTCCGCCTCCGCCTCCTCCTCCCCCTCCTCCTCCTCCTCCTCCTCCTCCTCCATTCCTGCTCCTTATAAATAACTTATCCCTGTCACACCCCCTGAGACTTCCTCACCCTTTATGATTCTGAAGCTTACGACATGACAACAGCTTCACATATCGAGGGCGGGCGGTTTTCAAAATGTTGTTCTCGTATTAGCGCCGCGCACGTTCATTTTACAAATTCGCAAAACCCCCACGGATTGAGGGCGGGTGGTTTTCAGCATGTGGCTCTCGCCAGAGCGCCGCGCACATTCGTTTTGAACAAGTGCCAGAGCTTCACGGATCGAGGGCGGGTGGTTTTCAAAATGTGGCTCTCGCTTTAGCGCCGCGCACATTCGTGTTGAACATTTGCAAGAGCTTCACGGATCGACGGCGGTTCCTTTTCAAAATGTGGCTCTCGCCTTAGCGCCCCGCACATTCGTTCATGAACTGTGCAAGCATCTTACGAATTTCCATGGCCAACGTACCAGAAAGTGTGTTTTGGAAGGATTCAAGATTAACCGAATACCTTCGAGAATAAACACTAGGGGATAATAAAGTTCGGGGTTCAGGGGGAGATAATCAAAGTAGCCCACCAGACTTCAGCATAATCTCGAAGTAAGAGATGATCAAGAGGAGACCAAGCCGAGCACGTTTTGAGACATCCTTGGCGTTTAGTCTTCATAGAAATATCATCAACAATGGCTTATCTCGCTGGATACATCCTCGACAAATCCCTTGTTTCGCTTGAGACATCCACAAACTATTGCTCATTTCGCTTGAGACACCGTCAAACTATTGCTTATTTCGCTTAAGAAACGTATCGTTTCGCTTGAGACATCCTTCAGTCTATGCTTGTTTCGCTTGAGACATCCTCGAGTATATGCTTGTTTCGCTTGAGACATCCTCGGAATAGCTCATCCGCCTCGGTGTCCCTGGATAATCAACCGCGGCGATAATAAAGTTCAGGCGGGCGGAGGAATGGAGAAAGCGATATACAAAAACAAAAATAAAAAAAAGAAACCACAAGAAATGAAAAAGAAAAAGGAAACACATCAAAAAGAAAAGAAAACAGAGGAGGAGGAGAAAGAGAAGGACAAATCTCAAGTTCAAATGTATTAGATTTTATTTACAAGCGCTTTATGAAAAATATTTGTTTTAAGTGCTCGTGTAGGGTAGCTCATGTGCTTCATTTTCCATGGATAATCAACCCCAGGGATAAAAAAAGTTCAGAGGGGGGGCATGAAGAGAGAGAGAGAGAGAGAGAGAAAAAAAAGAGAGAGAGAGAGATAAAGAGAGATACATCATATAGAAAAAGAAAGGAAGGACTTAAAGAGAGAATATACATTTAAAAAGAAAAATAGGATAATAAATGAAAAGGATAAAGAGAAGAGGAAAGGAGGATAAAACAACAAATCTGAATATTCAAATGTATTAAAGTTTATTTACAAGCGCTTTATGACAATTAAATGTTTTAAGTGCTCGTGTAGGGTAGCTCACGTGCCTCGTTTTCCCTGGATAACCAACCCCAGCGATAAACAAGTTCAGGGCGCCAGGGGGAGGAGGAGGAGAAAGAGATAGAGAGACAGAGAGAGAGAGACAGAGAGGCCAGGAAGGAGAAAGAGATAGAGAGACAGAGAGAGAGAGAGAAGAGAGACAGAGAAAGAAAGAAAGAGAGACAGAAAGAACTACAAAGAGACAGAAGGACATTGGTTTCGCTTGAGACATCCTGAAACAACGTGTTCGCTTCGCTTGATGTTGTTATCTCAACATAAGAAGGAAGTAACTTCGATGGCGAACTTTTCCCGTGATAATGAAGTTCGGCCTCCGCGCCCCCGCGCCCCCGACCAAACTCTTATTGGTCGACGATAAAAAACTCTAACGACTTAAGGGGGGGGTCCTTTATTCTCATCGGCATGCGGTTATGCGGGTGCAACAATTATGTTGCTTCGCGGTGTTGAAGTCCCCAACAGGGCGTTCTGGCACGATTCAGGACCGTCAAGACGCAGCAGTCAGGTTGATCCGTGGCGCTGAAAACCTGAGAACAATGTTTTGACGTGTTTCAGGGTCTTCAACGGTTGTCTTCCAACGAGGCAGTTCCCTCAATGAAAATGAACCGTTGAAGGGGCCTGTGAAGAGGAAGCTTGGAGGGAGAGCTTATTCCAACATCCTTGATGACTATTGGGTTTACACTGGTCATCCTCCTCCTCCTCCTCCTCCGCCTCCTCCTCCTCCTCCTCCTCCTCATCATCATCATCATCATCATCATCATCATCATCATCATCATCATCATCATCATCATCATCATCATCATCATCATCTTCCTTCACCTCCTGTCCTCCTCCTGTCCTCTTCCTCCTCCTGTTCCTTTTCCTCCTCCTCCTCCTCCTCCTCCTCCTCCTCCTCTCGGCCCGTTGAGAAGGGGTCCGCCTTGACTGGCCCTGAGCGCAGTAACCCCTCCTCTCCGAGCCTGCCTCCCGTCGCCTCCTCCACTCTTGCTTCCTCCCGCCTCCACCCTGGGGAGACGAAAAGGTACCAACACCCCAACTCTCAAAACCTCTGCTTGGGCGCGTTCTGAGTTCTGAGCTGTGGCGGCGAGGGGGCGAGCAGCAGTACCATAGTTTCCTCCCCAGACTCCTGCCTCCACCCTTTGTAGAGGCGAGGCCTCCCAGATGGGGTCGGAGGACCACGCCGCATCGGCGACGTCGGCGCGGGGAAAGTCGGACATCGGGCTGTGCATCGAGCCGCATCCCCATCTGCTCGGACCCCATCTGGGAGACCTAGGCTCCCCCCGGGCCTCCTCCTGCCTCCTGCCCCCTGCCGCCTCCTCGCCCAGGCCGGGGCGGGGCCCCGCCTTGGCCAGGCCCTGGGCGAGCAGCCCTCCCTTGCCAGCCGCGGCTCCCAACGTGCACCCGTCCCCGCCGGCGGCGGGGTCGCTGCAGACCTCGGCCGGCCGGCAGGTGCGGCGCTTCGCGCGAGCGGCCGCGCGCGCGCGTAGAAGACCCTTCTTAGGATTCCTGAAAAGCCCGATCTACACCGGCGACGCGCGAGCGAGCGACCCAAACCGAGGGTTTTCGTCGCTTTCGCCGTCTGGCGGCCTCGGCCGGGCCCCGGGGCCGTCAGAAACGATCCGGCACGACAGAACAACCCCTGGGAAGTGGACCAGAGCTCTGGGGACCCCGCATGGAAAAAATCATGTCATCCCATGGTCGCCCTGCCCTGGGGAGCTGGGCGCCGCTTCCCGAGGGAGCGACGAAGGAGCGACGAAGAGGGGGGGCGAAAAACAACCCCTGGGACCCCGCGTGAACAAAAATCAGGGCATCGAAGGCGCCCGCGGCGGGCGTTCGGCGCCCTTCGAGGACGCCTGGCTCCTCGGGCGAGCCGAGCCCTGGGGTTAGGGGAGGGAGGCGAGGAGGAGGAGGAGGAGGACGACGAGGACGAGGACGAGGAGAAGAGGGGGGGCGAAAAACAACCCCTGGGACCCCGCGTGAACAAAAATCAGGGCATCGAAGGCGCCCGCGGCTCGGCGCCCTCCGAGGACGCCTGGCTCCTCGGGCGAGCCGAGCCCCGGGGTTAGGGGAGGGAGGCGAGGAGGAGGGGGAGGACGAGGAGGACGAGGACGAGGAGGAGGGGAAGGAGGAGAAGGAGGAGGAAAAGACGAGGACGAGGACGAGGGAGAGGACGACGACGACGACGACGACGACGACGACGACGACGACGACGACGACGACGACGACGGCGGCGGCGAGAAGGAAGAGGGGTAATTGCGTTGGGGCGGGGAACGGACGGGCGCAAAGGTCCAATACGCTGAGGCATTGCTGACGGGAGTGTTGGCAGTCTGGATGCCCAATCAACTGTTTATGAGGGCATTGCTGAACGGGGGGTATGTGCGCCGCTGGGAGGCATCTGCATCCGCAAACTTCTGCAGTCCGCCCCTTTTCCCTGGGACCGCGTGGCCCCTGGGCGCGACCCCGAAGCGGTAGACATAGATATGCTCTGGTGGTTTGGCGTGGGGGCTCCCAAATGCCCGCGTCGGATGCCACCCCGATGGGGTCGCAGGATCGCCAAATGCAGCGGCGGCGACGTGCTCTGGCTCGTGCCGCGTCGCCTCCGCATTTGCCGGGCCCCCCGAGGCCATGAGAGAACGACTCAGGACGAAGAGCTGGCCCTGGGGCCCAGGACCAGGATCCGCTTCCGCCATCGACAATCTGTCTCCAGCCGCCTCCTCATCCAAGGGGGCCGCTTTCGGGTCCCAAGGCCCGCACGCGAGAGCATCCGTAGGCGGGCAGAACAAATGCTCCAGGGACAGCGTCGAGAACCCTGGGACCTGCGCGAGAACGCCGCGGCGTCGGAGGCCTGAGGCCCTTCGTCCTGTCGCCTTCCGCTTAAAAGAATAAGGTATCCGCAATCATACCTCGAGAAACGAGGCAGAGCATCCTCAGGTCCGTAACCCCACCAGCCCCCTAGGCGGAGGTGGTCTACTGAGCTTCCTCTTCCAACCCCCGTTCTTCCTCGGGAATGGATTGATCACTGCTCCTTATTAACACATTCCCCCTCCCGCAAGCGACTGGCGACCAACCCGTCCGTACACATGCGGGCCCAATGCGGTCACCCCCCACACCGTCAAAAACCAATCCGTCAAAAACCAATTCATGCACACGCGTACCCATCTGTCAAAAACCAATTCAAATACAGTTTGGGGCGAACTCTTGGGTTATGCTCGTGGACCCCGCGAGCACGCTGCATTTTTTTGATCGGGGGCGGCGGGGCTGCCAGCAGATTGCCTGCCTTGTGCAGGGCCACCGCCCCTGTCTACCCAAAAGAATACACAGAGCACTTCGCGGCTAAGCACAACGACGGCCACCCCGCCGCGATTACGCCCTGGCTTTCGACAAGGATGGTGGGGGAAGAAGTGCTTCCCGATGTGTGCTGTCACGTGCGCGGGCGCACCTGGCATACTTTGCGCGTGCCCCGAACGTGGCGCACCTGGCACGGCTGGAGCATGCGGCACGTGGCACATCTGGCGCACCAGGCATGCCTGGCACGCTTGGGCCCCAGGGTTGCTTGGCGCACCTGGCGCGCCTGGCATGCGTGGCGCACCTCGCCCCAACGTAGCGCACATGGGGTCTGTCTCGGTTCCCAACAGCTGCATATCCGAGGACGACCGCTGAACATGCTAAGGCTCGGGTGCTGCGTGTGTGTTGGAAGGGCGGGTGGGAGTGAGCGAGGCGGCGCGCGGCTTCCCCCTCCCCCCCCCCCCATCCCCCTGGGGCTGGAGGGGAGGGGCCACGGGTCGTTAGAGCATCCATCCCAGAGAGGCCGAACGATTGCCTACACAGGCCCCCCAAACAGCCCAAGAGGCCCCGACATGGCCACCAGCCCCGCCCACAAAGGTGCCAGACGGCGACAGAGCGCCCCAAGACGGCCCAAAACGCCCCCACGAGACTCCCGAGAACCCCCAAAACGACTTGACTGCACGTACTCCGGACGTGCACCCCGCGAAGCGGGAGGAATCATTAAGAGGCTGTCGGAGCGCCCGAGGAGCTCCACAAAACCCCCCATGTTCATGCCATCTGTTGAGTAATTATTTCAGAGGTCTGAAAATGATTGTTGTTTTTGCTGCTGTTGAACTCATGCCACTTGTGGGTACATACGACAGTGGACGGGTCAAAAGAGCCCCAAAAGGACTCTCAAGAAGGCCCGGAGAGGCCATATTCATTGATTTTCGGAAAGGTTGTCACCGCCCTCTCCTTCTCATTTCCGTCGAGGGCCGAGGCATCCAGAATTGGTTGCTCCTACTCGCTTCCTCTCGCTCCTACTCCTCCTCCTCCTCCTCCTCCTCCTCCTCCTCATCCTCCACATTCCTCTCGCTGCTCCTCCACTTCTCCTCCACTTCTCCTCCTCCTCCTCGTCCTCCGCACTCGCCTCCGCCTCCTCCTCCTCCTCCTCCGCCTCCTCCTCCTCCTTCTCCTCCTCCTCCTTCTCCTCCTCCTCCTCTTCCTCCTCTTCTCCTCCCCCTCCAGCTCCTCCCTGCTGCTCCTACCCCCTTTCTCTGCTTCCACACTCCTTCTCTCTGCTCCTTCCCCCCTCGTCGTTATCCTTGGTTGCTCCCACCCGCTCCTTCTCGCATTGGATCGAAAGGAAACCAAAGAGACCCCAGAACGCCAAAACGCCTCCTCCTGCTCTGCTTCTTCTTCTTCTTCTTCTTCTTCTTCCTCTTCCTCCTCCTCCTCCTCCTCCTCCTCCTCCTCCTCCTCCTCCTCCTCCTCCTCCTCCCCCCCCTTCTCCCCCCCTCCTCCTGCTCCTCCTCTGCCTTCTCCTCCTCCTCCTCCTGCTCCTGCTCCTCCTCCTCCTCCTCCTGTTCCTGCTCCTGCTCTTCCAACACCAAGATTGTTAAGCTTGCGAGCCGCTCCGCTATCAAGAACTTCAAGCCGCCGCAAGTACAAGATGCTCATGGCCATCATGTGCAAGAAGATCGTCGAGGAGAAGAACATCCCCTGCCCGTCGCCGCCGCCGATGTCCAGTGGCGGCCGCTCGACTACGACGCGCGGATCGGGAACGATGACGACGACCCCTCCAGCTCCGCAGGCGCCCATGGTCAGCATCGGTTCGTCCCAGATCAACTTGCCGCCGCTGCCACTGGAGGGGATGTAGACCTTGCCGTTGACAAGGCAGTTTTCTACAACTTCGCGGATGGCGCCTCGGCTCCTGAGGACAAGCCCATTCGCCCGACCATCGTCAAGGCGGAGTTTGCTGGCTTCAGCGCCGACGCCAAGACCTTCATCCCAAGGAAGCCGTTCTACCAGGACCCCGACAGGGGCCGTGTGGAGGAGTACGATATCTCGAGCGAGGGGCAGTGCGGCGAGGACAACGGCTTGATGACCGTGACCCCCCTCGCGGTCAGGGTGCCGCCGCCGCTCGACGACCGTGACCCCCTTCATGGTCAAGGACGGGCTCACTTCGAGCCTTAGGAAGGGCGCTTCGACCCCAGCTTGGACGACATCTACGACAATGGTGGCCACGTCGAGCCGCCCACCGACGTCGCGCACGCTACTTCCGTGCCTTTCGATGGCGTCGATGACAAGTCCGACATTTACGACGTCACGCACGCTACTTCCGTGCCTTTCGGGGCGTCGATGACCAGTCCGAGCCCGAGGTCATCAGGACGCAGATCGAGGAGTCAGCTCTCGCCACCATCGGCGAGGAGAGGCTCGCGCGGCTCCGCAAGATGGGCTACTTCGCGAATGCAGCTTGACAAGTCCTTCACAGGCTCCTTCGGCTTCACAGGTCTGGTCACTTTCGATTTCGACCGCGTGTGGAACGGGTTCGGCCTCGCTTCCTGTTCGAGCCATTCTGGTTCAAACCCGCGGGCCCCAATTTTCCTAGCGGCCAGTCCCTGGCAGTCTCTGCCCTTGGAGCCTGGGTGTTAGCGGTGCACTGGAAAAATCCTCATCCTTCCCCCCCCCTCCTCCTCCCTCATCCGCCTCCTCCACCCTTCCTTTTCTCCCCCACTCCTCCTCCTCCTCCTCCTCCTCCTCCTCCTCCTCCTCCTCCTCCTCCTCCTCCTTCTCATCCTCCGCCTCATACCCCCCCCGCTCGTTTTCATCTTCGTCGTCTTCAGGGTCGGCGGCACCGGCCGTAAGGCCTTCGCAATACGACAGTGGGTATGTGAACTTGTCACGGGCTGGGGCCTAAGCGCGTGAAGCGCGCTCGTGGTTCTGATGCTAAACTGACGGAGGTCTGCGCGGAGCGCGCCGGGGGGGCCCTGGAGGCGCCGCCAAGAGGGCCTGGCGCCGACTGAAGGCATACGCGCGGACCTCCGAAAGCTTCTGTGTGCGCAGTCTGTGTGCTCCCCACCGCACGGGGACGCCCCGCGGATCTCAATCTGGGCCTCTTGGGTCGACTTGGGGCCCTCTTGCAGGCCGCTTGGGCCGTCATCGGGCC